AGTTTAGTTTAGTTATTTTATTTATTTTTGTAGCCCCAACTGGCCTGAATTCACTATGGAGACCAGGCTGGCTTCGAACTCACAGAGATCCGCCCTTCTCTGCCTCCCGAGTGCTGGGATTAAAGGCGTGCACCACCACACCCAGCCTTTATTTTATTTTTATGTGTGTGAGTGTATTGTGTGCATGTGTGTAATACAGCCATATTGCGCAATGCCTGCAGCGATCTGAAGTGGGTGTCAGATTCCCCAGAACTGGAGTTATGGACAGTTATTAACTGCCGTGCAGGTGGTGGGAATTGAACTTGAACCTGGGTCTTCAGCAAGAGCAGTCAGTGCTCTTAACTTTTGAGCCACCTCTTCAGCCCCTGCCTGTTTGTTTTAATTGGCTCCTGTTGAAAGCAAAGATATATTTCTGTTTTGTTTACTCATATATCCCAAGAAATGTGAACACTGTGTGGCAGATGAAAGGTACTCAGTATGTATTCGGTGAGTTAGTGCTGCTTTGTTCCTAACTGTTCTGACCTTTTCCTCCTTAGCCCAGCCTGAGCTGTTGCCATATAAGCCATCCGGTAGTTCAAAGAAGTACTATGTTCCACAATTAAAAACAGTTCCTTCATTTCCGGATTTCAAATCAGACACTACAATTGAGTGCTCACATCCAGGTATTATGGAGAGATTACTCGAGATTTTGTTTTTGGAAACGCTGTGTGTTGGCTAGTTGATTATGAAATGACAAATGAAGTGAGACATGGAGGCTTCTGTTCCTTGACCTCTAATTCAGAGAGGTGAGTCATTTGATCTGCTCTATTCTCTAACCTTAAGCATTTAAAAAATATTCAGTGAAAAAAATTATCATTTGTTAGGGTTAGTGGGCCCATCTATAAAAAGGTAGAAAGCTCAAGCTGTCTTGAGCACGCTACCTACACACTGTTAAAGCAATTTGTTTTCTTAGTATATGTATAGTGTAATAAATAGAAAAGGTAATATTTTTAGCTACTAAAGTATAAGAATACAAATACTGTTTTAATCTAACAAATCAGCAAACAAAAGTGTTACTACTTTCTAACTTTTTTTAAAAAAAACTTAATTTTTAAAAATGTTTTATTTATAATTTTTATTTTATGTGTGTGAGTGTATTGCCTGCATGTGTATGAGTGCACCTGTGTCGTGCAATGCCACGGAGGTCAGGAGAGGGCTTTGGATTCCCCTGAAACTGGAGTCATAGCCACCATGTGGGTGCTGGGATTCGAACCCGGGTCCTCTGCAAGAACAATCAGTGCTCTTAACTGCTGAGCCATCTCTTCAGCCCCTGAAAAAACTTAATTTTGTTCCTGAAAAATAGCAACTAATTATTGATGATGTGTGCTGTCGTTGGGTATTGCACCACTTCTGGTGAAATGGGACATACCCACTCTCATTTCCTCTTTTAATGATGACAGTTGCCAGAAATTCAGCTTTGCAAAGACATGACAGCATTGACAGGAACATTAGAACACTGTCACACGGAGCTTTTAGTTTGTGGAGGTACACTTGATGCTAAATATCACTAGTGCTTCCCTTGAATTTTAACTCACAGCATCCCTGTAGAGGAGCCCATTGTGCTTCTGAGTTGGTATGGTGGGGGCATGTGATGGTGAGAAACTGTTTTCTGTGGTCTATTTACTACAGGAGATTCACTTTCTTCCTGGTTGGCCTGGAACTGGCTATGTAGACCAGACTGGCCTTGAACTCACAGATATCTGCCTGCCTCTGCTTCCCAAGTGCTGAAATTAAAAGTGTGTGTCACCACACCTGGCTAGAAAAATCTTTGTGTAGAAATTTTAAAGAAAAGAGAAATTAGAGAACTGAAGAGATTGGGTCAGTGGTTAAGAGCACTGGCTGTTCTTACAGAAGACCTGGGTTTGAATCCCAGCACTCACATGATGGCTAACAACCATAGTTGGATTCCAGGGGATCTAACTCCCTCTCTTGTCCTCTATGTGCCCTGCACAACATGGGCATTTAAAATTTAAATTTAAAAATTTATCTGGGTGTGGTGGCGCACACCTTTGATCCCAGCACTTGGGAGGCAGAGGCAGGTGGATCTCTGTGAGTTCAAGGCCAGCCTTGTCTGCATAGTGAGTTCCAGGACAGCTGGGGCTACAGGGATACCCTGTCTCAAAAAAAAAAATTTAAAAAGAAAAATTATTTGTGGCATCAGATTGTTAATTTTATATTAAAACATAACATTTTAAAAATATTTTATTATTTTTATGTGTACGCGTGTATTGCCTGCATGCGTAGGTAAGTGCGCCCATGTTGTGCAGTGCCCATGGAGAACAGAAGAGGATGTTGGATCCCCTAGAACTGGACTTAATAGACAGTTGTTAGCTGCCATGTGGGTGCTGGGATTTGAACCCAGGTCTTCTGCAAGAACAGCCAGTATTCTTAACTACTGAGTCATTGCTCCAGCCCCATAACTAATTTCTTATAGTAATTGATTATGGCCTCTGTAATGTAATATAACTTCTAACTCTCCATTATGATGGAGCTAAAAGGATGAACCACAAAATGCTTTGCAAATGTGAGGATTGATTAATTTATTAGAATTGAAGAAATTTTCAGTCCTTCCAAGGCTTTGATTTTTTTTTTTTAATGCATTTAAAGAAATAAAACAAGCTCACTTGCTAGACTTGGTGGTATATACCTCTACTCCCAGCATTTGGGAGGCTGAGGCAGGCAAATTGCTACAAGTTCAAGGCAGCCTAGAATACAGAGTGAATTCTTGTCCAGTATGGACTATAATACTGAAACCCTGTTTCAAACAAACAAAAAAGCAAAAACAACTTTATGTAATTTTCTTTAGATACATACTTGATCCCTTTTACTCTTAATTCAGAAATCTGTAAATAGAACTTTTAATGCATTTAATAATACTTTTTGAGCTTTCTGATGTTGTACTATCCATTTACATCTTTAAAATTTCCATCTATTTAAAGACACTAATGAGAAAAATTTAACAGTGGAAGGTGGTGGGAGCTCAGCAGCAGTACAGCCTATTCTGAGAAATATTATTATCCTTCTAAATAGAGTACTTAATGCCTATTGAAATAAAAAGAATAGCTATACCTATTGAGACTGTCATTGTTTCTGCTGTATATTCTGTGAATGAGGAAATTGACAATAGAAAATAATGCTTTTAGACTAGCAGGGCTAGTTGATGAAAGCCGAGGAACTGTTTCTATAGCTATTGTTTATTTCTCTTTGTGTGTGTGTGTGTGTGTCTGTGTGTGTGTGTGTGTCTGTGGCGGGGGGGGGGCACA